ATAATCGTGTCTCCTCTCCCCAAATTGTCCATTTTCGTGGACGATCTAAGCGTCAATTAGAGAGACATTACTGTATAGCAATGTCTTCCTAATTGACGCTCTGATTGCGCACGAAAATGGACAATTTGGGAAGAGGAGATTCGATTATTTCGATGGTATTTCCAAATGTTAGTATAAATAGATTCCTTTCTCAAATGTTTTTTTATTTCTTCGTCTTCTAGGTTATGTTAATATTTTTGTCAAATATATACATATACAGTAATGTCTCCCTACACAAAAATGGACAATTTGGGAAGAGGAGATACGATTATTTCGATGGTATTTCCAAATGTTAGTGTAAATAGCTTCTTTTTTCAAATGTTTTTTTTTATATCGTCGTCTTCTAGATTATGTTAATATTTTTGTAAAATATATACATATACAGTAATGTCTCCCTACACAAAAATGGACAATTTGGGAAGAGGAGACGCGATTATTCGAGCCTCGCATTTTATTTTTATAATTGTTGACGATCTATAAGAGCTATAAGAGCTATACAAACTATAAAACCAATGAAACTATAAAAAGTAGACGCAAGATTCCAACAATCGCGTCTCCTCTCCCCAAATCGTCCATTTTCGTGCGCGACCTGAGCGCGAATTAGGGCGAATTTGCTGCAACTATCGACGGGAGCTCGCGATGCTGTTTAGAGCGTCGTTTAAATCAGCGAACCAAATTGACGTACGTCGTCTGCCATCGATTCCTGTCCCATTGTGAATCGATCACGTGTGTCGTACGCGGAACATCGAACGACCGCCTCGCCGCGAGCGAGTTTCATTCTGTTCTTCCTCGAGAGTAGACCTGTGGGGAGCGCAACGTAAGAAATACTTGTAGAACACTTTGTAGAACGCTTGGACATTGTTCACAATGTTAGCCCTCTGCACTCAAAGATATTTTAAGCCCCGCAACTCCGGACCACGTTTCTTCCGGCCACGAAGATTTCTCTATACTTCTCGCTGTATACTATTCGCTTTGGGCGCGTGAAACCGAACGCTTGGACGTGACAGATATCGAGCTTCAGCTGTTTGTTAACACTAGAAAAATGCCGAAACGGTCGAAATTATTGGTTTCTGAATTTTTCTTTTATTGTTCTTGATGTTTGAGAAATATTTCTGGGAGGATCATATTGGAGGATATTATATTTATATTTTTTATATCTATATTATATTATATATTTAATATTCATATTATATTTATATTTTTTTATATTCATATTATATTGTATATTTTATATTTATATCATATTTATATTTTTTTATATTATATATTTTATATTTATATTATATTTATAATTTATAATATTTCTATTATATTATATTATATTATATTATATTATATTATATTATATTATACTATATTATATTATACTATATTATACTATATTATATTATATTATATTATATTATATTATATTATACTATATTATATTATACTATATTATATTATACTATATTATATTATATAATATTATATTTATATTTTAATACAAAATATGTACGACAAATTCAAATATAATTTATCAAAATATAGTTTTCAAATCAAATATATTATTATTGACCGGTAAAAAATTACAGCACATAAAAAATAGCAAAACAGCAAAATAGCACAAAAAAATAGCAAAATTATAGCAAATAAAAGTGTATTGTCTCGCATCCATTAATTACAATTAACTGACCATTTGTATCTGTTAATTGTACATGTTCATGCAAAAATTGAGCTTTCGCTAATCAATGAATTTTATTTTATTTGTTTTATAATACTTGCGCAAAGAATGTCGTAATTTGCGAATATAAAGCACCGACGTTCGAACGATAGTTCTCGATAACGTGTAACGGAGGGACGGGGGGGGAGAAGGGGAGGGATGTCTCGTTAGAATTTTCGTAGCATCTCCGGCTGACAAAAATTGGATTCCCTATTCGTAGAAAGTTCCCGTCGAACGTAGCGATCGGCTTAAGCGGGGAATTTAGAACAGGCGAACCTGCTGATATGACGGCATAAATTACCGCGGAGTGGTTCGGTTCCATCCAGGCTTTTCTGGAGAGGCACGGTAAGCTCCCCCGGGGAAAATGTGTTCGTGTAAGTAGCTCGTAAATATAGTAAATATCTCCATCGTAGGATCGTCAGGACATACTTCCGCCGAATTTATGAATCGATATCGATCACGCTCGATCGCCTGTTTTCCGGCTAATCGACCGCGCTGAAACGCGGAGCGAGCATGCTTTGCGAACGTTGCAACGGCTACTCATTGCATACGAGAGCTATTCGTTAGATTTTCCATTAACTTTCCTACCCGGCGCGGCGAACTCGCGATTTATTTTTTTTCCAACGGGATTTTCATTCAAATTCGTCGATTTTACGGGATTTACGAGATAACATATTTTATCGGGTATTATAGGAGATTTTAGGATTTTCTGGACTTGCTCGTTTTCCGTGTTTTTGCATGACACGTTGCAATGTTCGTGCAATTACCGCCGTTGTTATAAATATTATCATGAATTTCTTCATAGTGTAGCATTGCTATAAATGTTCTACAGGGTATCCCGAAATTATTGTACAAGCGGGAAATGAGGGGTTCCTGAGGTGATTTGAAGCAACTTTTTCCTTAGCGAAAATGTTCTACGAGGCTTCGTTTACGAGTTATTCACGAAAAACGTGGACCAATCGGGGAGCGAGCGCTCTGCGACCAATGCCGCGACGCGCCGGCCGGCTGACGCAGCGGCGGTGGTCGCGAGGGCGTGGCGTCAGCCGTACGCGATCACTCGTTGGTCAGCGTTTTTCGTTAATAACTTGGAAACGGAGCCGCGGATCGCATTTTCGCTGAGGAAAAAGTTACTTCAAATGACTTCAGGTACCTCATTTCTCGCTCGTACAATAATTTTGGGACACTCTGTATAGTGTATTAGTACTAGACTGCAAATCTTTATGCGAAATAAAAATTGTGTGTATCAATTTTAAGGAACAAAAGACGAATAGAAATGTTAATCCCTCTTTAATGATCTTATATATTTTCTTTCTTATATATTCCATTTCTTCTGTCAGTTTTCTAAGTAAAAACAACGATTAAAGACAGTTTTGCATTAGCAAATGGATCAAGCGACGTATCGAACATTCCGCCGCATAAGGGCATAACTAATTCATCGAAATGAATTTGAATAATCGAACGCGGTTACCAATACCGAAATATATTTGAATATTCAATCACCTTCACGCTGATCCGTCGATTCCTCGTCGGCTCTTCCCAGCTCCGGCAGGGTTTCAACAATATATGTAAATTGCGCTATTTTCAAATATTATTCTAGAAAAATCGACCGAGATTCTTTTTTTCGATAAAATACGAACTTGTTCAATTTGACGTAAATTGGTTATTTCGTTGCCCTTGGACAAGCATTTACGTTTCATTGATCTTCACTCGGAGACATTTTTCATGAACCCCTGTAGAAGCTGAAAAATTAAATCAATTGAAAAATTTATTCAATGATGGGACGTTTCGTTTTTAAAGACGGTCACGCGATTGAATATTGTACAATGGACGACTTTAATGAACGATTTTTAATGGAATTGTATAATTTAACGGTAGATTTACGGAACCCGTTAAAATGACGGGTCATTAATATTTTAATCTACGATTACTTATATCGCAAAGATACATTTACGAGTTATTTATTCAATTTATATGTTACTCGCGGCAAATGTTACAATAACGCTTGTTGAAAATCAGAATAAATGTCTTATTGTTATAAAACAGCTGTTTTTTATGCTCCGGGAATCTAGCGTTAAACAACAAAATTATTCCGAGACGCGGCGTAACAATTTTTAACGCCGCCTCGGCGTTAATCTAATCAATCTTAGCAATATTCGACAGATTACACATTGAAAATTGAAAGTAGAAATAAGTGCTACGAATTCGGCGCGATAAAATAGTCGAAACAATGTCTAAATGTGTGCCCAAAAATATTATACCAAAATTATCGATACAAGCGAGAAATATGTGATTCCTGAGGTCATTTGAAGCAACTTTTTCCTCAGCGAAAATGTTCTACGAGGCTTCGTTTCCGACTTATTAGCAAAAAACGCTGACCAACGAGTGATCGCGTACGGCCGACGCCCCGCCCTCGCAACCACCGACGCCGCGTCAGCCGGCCGGCGCGTCGCGGCATTGGCCACATGGCGGAGCGCCGGCCGCGCTCTCACTCCGATTGATCCTCGTTTTTCGCTGATAACTCGTAAACGAAGCGTCGCAGAACATTTTCGCTAAGGAAAAAGTTGCTACAAATCGGCTGAGGAACACATTTCTCGCTTGTACAACAATTTTGCATCACCTTATTTATCATATTTTTGTAAAATTCTCCCGTGATGTTGCGTCAAGATCACTGTTAGCATACCAAAAGCACGGCACACTTCCGCAAAGTTTCCTTCCAAGTACCAGAGAGATTACAACGAGCTAAAATTTTCTCAGCATCGTCTTGCGTTCGTCGTGAGCGGAGCGGTAGGAAGAAGATTAAAAATTTCATTCCCTGTTTCATGGCGCGTAGCCAAGACAGAGGTCTCCCCCTTCCCCCCTGCCCCTCCTCAGGCTTTATCCGCGGCGCTTCCAGGCTCCCGTTGACCTTCTGGTCGTTACCGTCATCGCAGTCCGCGCACTCGTCGACGTCATTAGCGTTTACGAATACGCTGGACACAATAAATCCTCATTCCCGGACGGCCTACTTTCAATTAGCCCCGTTAATTGCCGGGCGACCGAAGTGGTTTCGTGTTTCAGCTTGAAAAATTCGCGCCACGACGAACGTCTCGCGGGACTCAGCCGGGGTCCGTCGTCGCCTCGTATACGCGCCTATTTCTGGAGAAGCGGCGAGGACGCGGTCGCGACCGACGCCGCGGGATTATGTAATAAGGCCAATTGTTTCTAACTCGCGTTGTTTATATAAACCGGCGACCGGGCACCTAGGATGCAGTGGCCGATCGCGGATCGAGCGCGGTGAAACCGATACGAGAGAAATCGAGAAAGTGTTTGTAGAACATCTCCGGACGCCTGTTCGCAAACGAAAGCCGCAAAACGGAAGCTGTCTTCGCGGGAGAATTAGTCGCAGGATTGTGAAAGACGGTAGCCGACATCATGTTAGAAGTTCTCGTTGTTTTAACCCTTTTGGGCTCGAGCGGCGACTCCGAGGAGCCGTTGAAAATTGTTGCGACGCGTCTCGGAATAATTTTGTTCGTCGAATTTGTTTGTATTTGAAGGGCCGTTGAGAGCGCTAACTGTTGCACGGGTCGCGACGTTCGATTTCACGTGCATAGAATGCACTAAAAATTGGTATACTGTTTTTCGAAACCGTTGCGAGAGCATTGGACTCGTTTGTATTGAGGAAAGAATGATTGGAATCGCGTCGTACTCGTCGGTAGGCTCAATTTCGTGCGCTCGGATCGCGAGAAATTGTATAAAATAGAAATACGGTAGATCGGAAATCGTGATTCGGAGTTCCAATTCGAATAATAATTTATTATGATTTAATTTGCATTTTCTTTCTTACGAATATGTTGTTATTTCGTATTTACCTAAGTACAGTAGACGAATGTTTTTTTTCAGGAGCAATCTAATTTTTTTAATTAATAAGTCGACACGCAAATGTAAATGTTTTCAATTCTTAGTGTATACTATGTTCGGAAACACCGATGTTTTGCGTTAATTCGGCTTCGTGCGCGAAGGATCGAGTGGTGGGAAAGTACGCTTTTCCCATTAGGAACTGTACGAAATTCGTGGGAATTTGTAGCAGCTGTGTCGATCGGTTATTATTATTCTTAAATCTGATCGGTCTTTGATCCATTTTTAGGAATTCGGTGAAATATTAAGCGCTTTCCCTGGAGAAACGGTGAATCGTGTATCGCGGTATTGGAGTTCATTCCGAAACGCCGAGCTAAAATCCTATAATGCCAATTAGCGCGATAACGGAGACGTGCACGCGACTCGAATTGAACGCCGTACAGACTGTATAAGGCAAAGTGCTAATTGATGCACGTGAATCGCGAGTTATTTAAGTAGACTCATCTAGCTTACGTATATTGACGCGCAATCCGGTTATGTTATTACATGATTGACTGAAACGCGGTCGATTTGTGCACGGAATCGTCGAACCGGTTCCGGCGGAAGACAATTGAACTTCGAACGTTGGGTGAAAGAGTTTGGAATACTTGGAATTTGTTGTTCGGTTATATTCATCCTGTTTCAACTTTTAGTCGTCGATGTGTGATCCGTTGTTTTGCCAACGCGAAGGCGTTCATCCACAGAGAAATAATTCTTTTTCTTCGAAATAGTAACGCGAACGAGTAAAGAGCACCGCCAAATATTGCTAAGATGGATTCGATTAAATTTCTTAATTTTACTGAATAAGCGATGCAAAGTATCGCGTTGCATTTGAGCAGTGCGGAGAATTTTACATACATTTTCTACGGAAGATTTTTTCGGATATATTTTCTGCGTTAACGTGAGCGAAGCACCTTGTTCTCGAGTCGCAGATTGTCTCAATGGTTTCTCGGTTAGCTTCGAAAAAACGAGGTCGTGTAAATGATTAACACGTAACAACGTTTATCGATACGTGTGAAACGTGGAGTAAATCGTCGCGATATACAGTAAACTGTGATTTCGGAAAGCAGGTTGCACGGTGCATACGTTTAAACAAATTGTTCCGTTTATCTTATCGTGTCGAATTCGCTGCATTACTCTGCGTGACACGAATGTTGTTGCAGCAATGACAGTGGATCGTCGTTTGTTACACGCTTCATGTTTAAATCGTCGAAATCAATATAATAGCGCGACGAGTTTGTTTCGCGTTACCAATTCGTATACGCGTGAAACGTAACAGTTTTATTCGCAGCAAGAATAGCCGCCGGTGAAATAACAGAAACGAATCAATAGAATCTTTTCAAATCTCTTTTGCGTCCAGTCTGATGAAAAGTCGGAAATTGCTTTTGACCGTTCCGCGGACCAGTAAAGAAATAAAAGGGGAACGTACTGTTTGCTCGTTTTCTGATTTCAATTTAGTAATAGAACATGTTCGAACGTGTCTTCCTCATTTTCTACGCGGTTCAATAGAACGCGAAAAGGTTAAACGTCGGTCTGGCCTCGGAACATTTTGAAAGCGAAGTATATATTATATGTACAGAGTGTCCCGAAATTATTGTACAAGCGGGAATCGAGGAGTTCCTGAGGTCATTTGAAGCGACTTTTTCCTTAGCGAAAATGCGATCCGTGGCTTCGTTTGCGAGTTATTAGCGAAAAACAGTGACCAATGAGAGGCGAGATTAGCTAGCTGGCGCGAAGCGGGCGAGCCAATGAGCGGAACTGGGCTTCGACCGCTGGTTGACTCGGCCGCCTCGCGTCTGCTGATCTCGCATCTCATTGGTCAACGTTTTTCGTTAATAACTTCTGAAGGAAGCGGCGGATTGCATTTTCGCAAAGGAAAAGGTTACTTCAAATGACCTCAGCTGTTAAAATAATTGTGGAACAC